AGATATCTTAACGAAACTTGGTACGCCCACTTCTTTCGGGCGTAGGAGGGATGGTATTAAAAATGGGCAAAATCGGATAATAACCACGCCTACCTCCCATATAACGGTAATTTTGCAGAAATACGAAAACTGCGATATTTTAGCAACTACTGAAGATAATTCACTAAAAATTGACATTTACAATAAGTTTTAGACAAAAAGTAAGAACATTATTCATTTTTGGAAAATGGGCGTAGCCGCGCCCACTTATGGTTACATGTGTATACCTTGGTAACCGCTGTACCAATTTCTTCCAAACTTGGCACAGTTGCTGGCCTTGGTACAACATACCAAATGGCCGAAAATTTTATAAATCGGGCAATAACCACGCCCACATCCCAAATAACGGTAATTTAGAGAAATAGGAAATCTTCGATAAATCAGTAAATATTAAAGCTAATTTATTAAAAATGAATGCTTTCAACAACTCTTTATCAAGAAATACGTCTATGATAAAATTTTGGAAAATGGGCGTGGCAGCGCCCACTTATGATCACATATATGTATCTCAGTAACTGTTGTACCAATTTATACCAAACTTGGTATGGTTATTGTGCTTGCCACATAGAAGCAAAGCGTTGAAAATTGGTGAAATCGGACTCAAATTACGGCCGCTTTTCATTAACGGTAAATTTCAGAAATGCCTGAAACTTCAATATTTCGAAATTTAAGGACGTTAATTTACTCAAAATTGATACACTCGGCTTACCATGTAGCGGTAGCTTTCGAAAAGGCTTAAAACATACCGGGTATTTAATGTTCGGCTCCGTCCGAACTTAGACTTTCTTACTTGTTTTTTCTTTTTCTTTTATACATGTTACCGCATAACTTTGGACCACGTCGATCGATTTCAATCATTCTTTTTCCCTCGGAAAGGTAGTACTCACAGGTGGTCCCATATTAATTTCGTTTAGATCCGATCATTGGATCATGAAAAAATCAACGGCACTCCTAAATTTGTATATAAGAATTGAAGTCGGTTGTGTTTTTTTTTTTTAAATTACTTGTTTATATTAGTATTTATGACTCTCTTAATTTTAAATAATATAAACATAATTTTCACGCTGGCAATGCTGTGTGTCATGAAAAAGCGCTTGCGCTTTCAAGCACATAAACGCGACAACAATAACAACCACATTGAATGACATACATTCGAGAGAATCGAAACGGCTGACAAGAAAGAGCGTGTGTTTAGCCGTGCTCCCTCTTATGTCAAAGCGGCGGCCAGCAGCATTGTGTTGCAACAGTAGCGACAGCGACAACAACAGCCACACATTGGCAGCGGCCGACCGCGGCGAACAAGACGAAACGTCAGAAATAAGCAAACGAAGCGAGCAAAGAAAACCTGAGAATAACCCAAATGGGCAGTTGTAGTTATTGTGCTGCGGCGAGCGATGGAAATGGGAACAAATTTCGTGTGTGTTTTGTTGTGCGATAAAATAAGCAGATTTTTATAAACAAAATACAAAAATCTTGTGAATAAATAAAAAGAAATTTTGTGAAAAACGTGAAGCTAGTGAATTGCTAATGCAAAGACATAAATGTAGCATGTGAAAAAGCAGTGAAAATTTGTGCCGAAGAAAAAGTGGAAATCACTTTGCTACATGCAGCACCAGATGAATGTATGTACATAAGTGAATGAAAATACTACATAAAGGCGCATACAGACTATGTATGTACATATGCAGGTATATGTATATATGCATACATAGCACCAAATTGAGATGTGCATATTTGTGTGTAATGTATATGTTTGAATACATGCATACATATGTACGTACATAAGTGCGGGCTTACAGTACGGCGCACACATTTTATGGGGCGGAGGAAAAATCTGCAGTAGGCGCAGCCAACAGTAGGCAATGCAGCCTAGCGATGCATTCGTTTGTTCATTCTGTGTAGGGGAAATAAAGTGAGCAGTGATGGCTGAGACGCGAACGCGGCGGCAGCGTCTATGTCTTTGGCGCCAGCGTCGGCAGCATTAGCAAAACTATATAGAATCTAAAAAGCAGAAGGCAAAAGGCACGAGAAGAATAAGCAGTAATGGCAGACGCGGCAGTGATGGCAAAAATAGCAATTACGAAAGACATGTGAAAAGGTATATGGAAAAGCAGAGAGTGTATTTTGTTTGTATTTTGCCAGTCGCGCGCTCTCGCGCTCCACAACTGTCAAATAATAGCTGCCGCCAGTGCTGCCAGAAAAAAAATCTCGTTCGGAGCTAAATCGGTCGAAAAAAAAACTAAAAAGAGCTAAATAATAGCTCTGATCCAGTACTCCATGAACTTACAGGTTTTTACACGAACTTGTAGGAAGTTACAGGAAAAATGATCCCGTATTCCAAATTCCTCCAAAATCCTGTAAATGAGAGCGATTTTTGGAGAGTTATGTAGAGAATGAAGTTGCAAGATTTTACCCGAACTTTTTCTTCTGGTAAAATCATGAAAAGTGTCTAGCGATCACTGGATGACGTTTTTACAGGAAAAATGCTTTTTTTTTGTTCCCATACTTTTTGTTGTTACTCACTTTTTACTCTCACGTCAGAGAGTAATTTTGCTGTTTGACATTTTTACAGGATTTTACACGAAAAGTATTGGATAAGAGCTAATACTTATAGAAGCTGAAAAAAAGAGCTAAATTTTTTTTGAAGGTGAGCAGGTATTGACGTAAAGTTGCTTTTACATTTTCCGCAATTTTACTAAAACTTAACGAATTTTATAAAGAGTGCTGAAAAGAACTTTTACAGCGAAAATGAGGTACATATGCACATTTCGAATTATTTGCTACGGCACTTACATATAGCACTTATATGTATGCATATACTTATACATATAAGCTAGACGATGAACTAAAAATACTTTACAAACTGTTAAAATCTGCAATTTCATATATTTGAATTGACCATAAAAACTCGGGTTATGAATCATTTTTTCGCAAAAGTTTTCTAAAATTTTTTATTGCCTTCTCTCCTTAAGGTAAAATTAGTTAAGGTAAAGACAAAACCCGCGCGTTCAGAAAAAGGATTTTCTTCTAATTAATTTTTGAATTCTTTAACCTAGATCCAAGAGTTTATGGTGGAGTCTGTAGTTTCCCGTGAATACAAATGTATGTTTTTCCACTGCATTTCGAAATTTGTTATTTTATCGACGCTTAAGTCTTGGCTTTCCTTTTCTACCATGGCCGCGAGAGAGAGAATGCACCGTCTGAGCTCATCGGAGCTCGAATTACTGCCCGGTATAGTTTGTGTGCTCCCGCGAACGTGCTATAAACTAATCGACTTGCCCATTTTCCATCTGCTTACGCGCCAGTTGCATTAGGAATGGAACTTTTTTAAGTATTAGTCGAAATAGAATAACATGAAGGTATAGAAAATGGCCTGAGCTCACCAAAGCCAAGTGAATTTTAGTCAAAAATTCGACAAAGAAATTAGAGATTTTTAATTTTAATATATTACCAAAAACAACTGAAACTTTCTGGAGCTAAAAAAATGCTAGATAATTTTGAAAAGAGTTAAAAAAAAGAGCTAGGAGCTAAATCCCAATTTTCGGAGCTACATTGAAAAATAAAGCTAAATCTAGCTTCAAAAGCAGCGAAATGGCAACACTGGATGCCGCGTGTAGAAGAAAATGAAAACAAAACAACATAAAAAATTGCAGTTGCATGAAACTGGGAGAAAGAGAGTGGGAATGGGAGAGATAGAAAGAGCGCGAGTTTGAATAGCGCAGGGAGAGCGTCTGCATGGAATGCATTTTCAAACACACACTAATACATACGTACCTGTATAACCACAAGTGCACTGTTGAATGGATGGCAAACGGCCGACACGACAACTCTTGGCCCTAATAATAGTGGTCGAGCATAAAGCCCAATTGGTAGTGAACTGTAAGTTGGTTGTACGGATCGTGGAACGTGAAAACGCAGCGGAACAGCAAAATCGATGGCCGAACGCAGTTGAACGATGCACTGATGTACATAAGTGTTGGTGTGATTTAACTCCGCCGCTCTGAGTTGTTACTGTGGATTCCTTCGTCAGTAAACCAGCAGTGTATGCACGTAGGCATGTAAATATGTACGTATTCTGCTGTAGTTGGCCGCCTATGCCTTGCCTTTACGATAAACTAACTCGCTGCATCACGACGGCTTAGTGCCCATCTACAAAGAACTTTCGCGTTGCGTTCGATTTCGCGTTAGTTATTATCGTTTGTCTCTGGGTGAGAGTCGCGTTGCAAAAACTGCTTGCTCGTATTAGTTGGCAAATAACTATTTGGTGGAATGTTGTCTTAAGTTAGTTAGAAGTCTACAAAATGCAATATTTATAACACAAACTGTGCGGACCACCACGGGAGTGTATGTATGTGTATAGTGTAAAAAGGAAAGGAAGTGCAAGAGTAAAGTGAAAGCAATATGAATTAGTGGTGAAGAACTCTTATTTGAATGAATTATCAGGGAAAAACACACAGGTTGTGCCCTAAAAAACAATTCGGAAGTACCAAAAATGAGAAGTAAAATATTCAGTCACTGAAATTTGTATGCTTCCATTAAAAATTTGTATGCAAGTGATAACTGATTTTGATTACCACATACATATCTAAGTAGGTATGTAAGTCTTCTTAGTGCAAGTGGGTTTGTGAATATCTTTGGAAAAGAATGAAAAAAATGTTGAAAATTTGGATTCAATTAAAAACAAGTTAAGTTAGGAGAAATAATACCACATCAAGTGTTTAATAAGTTTTAACTACGAAAACAAAGCCTACAGAATTCGCATTACATCGGAAATTCGATATCAAGTACCTACATATTTGAGGGGTTTACACACTAATGGATGCTTTAAATTAAGTAATATTTGACCTAATTTTATGGAAATCCAGACGAAGTCTCTCGCCGATAACCGTGATGAAGCATGGACCCACTACTAAGCAGCTGATAGCTGAAGGCTGTCCAAGCGCGAAGTATTTAGAAACGGGCTGGAGTTCCTTAAAAAAGGCGAATATTTGTCCACTGACTAGCGGTTTATGGCAAACTTTTGGAAAATCTTCGGTTGTATGTACAATAGTTTTGTGATTTGGGGTGGTGGGGTGGGGTTATGGCACTTATAACCCCACCTATTAGAAAGAGCACAGTCCAAGCTTTAAGACAATTCCCCTCTTTAGCCCCTTGGAGACCCATTCGGAAGTGGGGTAAGCATTTTTAGGATAGCCTATTTTTGAAAGTATCGATACTGAGCACTCCATAGTACTTAGTACACGCAAAATAACTCGAAAGTACTCAGAACTGAAAACAACTCGAAATTAATTAAGTAGTCCTCAAAATCACTCTGTTCCAATCATCACTCTGATACATGTACTTGAAAGTACTCGGTATTAAGTTTCGAATAGATACTTAAAAATACATAGTTTTATTTACATTTACTGGTATTCGAAAATCATTGTACTCTATTTCAAGATTTAATAATTTTCCAGTACAATACTTGTACCCAGTTTTGTTTGCCATTCCTTTGACTTAATTTGAGATTAATATATTAATTTGAATAAAGTGCTATCAGTTCGTGAGATATCTACATTAATCACTTAAATGTTACCAATATGTATGTATATACGAGTATTTAAAGCAAGTACTCAGTGTTTTCAAAAATACCCGAGCCTTGAAAGTATCGATACTTCCCGACGCTAGACGCGGGTTAGGCGAAATATCTTCACGCGTTGATGGCCTTCGGATACGCTTAGAAAAAATAACCCTCATCAGTCCAATTCCGGCTATGCCATCCATGGTATTTTTGCGCAGAACCAACCACGAAATTCACAAAAAAGTGCATATTTCAAAACGAATTTACTAATAAATTAGTGCTCGGGTCCAGCGTTTGGTAACAATAACCCAAAATTATTGTACAATTAGTAAGCAGTATCCGCAAAACGGAAAAATGACATAAGTCCATTTTTATTAGGTGTTTTTGGAGCGATTGATCGATCAGAGTCAAAAGCTGAGAGTTTTGGGCAGGTCCAAGTTTTGCTGTTGAATCAGCAAAGCGTGTGCAAAATTTCAGCCCAATCAAACGATATCTTCTATAGGCAGAAAAAAGTATCGGCGCATTGTCATCTCAAATACGATCCACACTTGAAATGGTCTAAAAATCGTTTTAATCTTTGTATCCATATACAGAGAAGCTTTTAATTCCTAAGTAAAATGATCTTAAAATTGTTCAGAGTACCGCAGTCCACTGGATTAAAGGCAGGCCCCTCTTTATGGTAGGCCAACCACATGCAGAAGTTCCCAAAGATGACAGCCTTTGTACTGAAAAATATATTTTTTTTTTACTGCAAGCTTCCTTGCCTTATCTGATGTTGAGTTTATGGAAATCAGTTTAATCATTTGGAAGAAAGAAATCAATCTCAAAGGCGCACCAATACTTACGCTGAAATCTGTTCAATGTAGGGCGTCGATTCTCACTCTGAGAAAAAATATTGAAGCGAGTTTTGCCTCCGTACATTCAAACATACACAGCGATATGCAGAAGGCTTCCTTGCGAACTTCGAAGTCCATAGATACCGAAGCTCCGATCTCCCGTCGTGGATGACCTCTTAACCAAACTACAGTAAAGTGGTTACGATGCTGTTGGTTTTGTGGACGACCTCGTAATTATTGTGACGGCATTGTATCAGACGTAATGAGTGCAGATCTGCGCGTGGTATCAAACTAGTGTGGAAATGAGGACCTCAACATAAACCTATTTACAAGAAGGTACAAGCTGAACAGTGGTTCGGTTACCCTTGGTGAAGCAGTTATTGAATACTCTGGCGAAGTCAAATATCTCGGAGTTATCCTGGATAAGGGACTAAGTTGAAATTCCCATCTAGAAAAATCTCTAGTAAGGCCGCCCGAACCATGTGGGCCTGTCGAAGACTTTTTGGTTGAACATGGGGTCTAAACTCTAAACTAGTAGAATGTCTATACCGAACTATAGTTCTCCCGATTGCAACTTATGCCTCCATGATGCACAAAAACTCCGCAAAAAAACTAATGTCTCATGTCTAAATAAACTCCAAAGAATGGCTATAGTGTCGGCGACAGGAGCAATGAGAACATGTTCAACTGCGGCCTTAGAGTCGCTCCTAGATCAGACCCAGCCACATTTTTGTCCAAGCAGGAAAAGTGCTCTTAAAAACGAGGTATTTTGAGCATAATACCAGGTCTAGGAATCTACGAGTTCTCCGATGCTATGCCAAAGGAAATGTGATTTGCACTGGTACACAGACGGATCAAAGATGGACGGCAGAAGAGGAGCAAATGACTTTGGACCTGGAACCAAACATTCCATTGCAATGCGTACTTGGTCCACGGGTCTTTCCGGCCGAGGTACTAGAAATCTCAATTTGTGCCGGTCTGAACATTGAGAATTGTTTAAAAGGCCCGTTTCTAGTTATCTCTTTAGATAGCCAGGCGGCTATAAGAGCCGTTTCTAATAGGACGCTCGTCAAGGAGTGCTTTGACACTAACCAACTCTTGGCAGCAAGCAGCATGGTATTACTATTCTGGGTACCAGGACCCTGCGGTATCGTGGATATTGTGGCCGCCGATGAATTGTCACGGGAAGGTTCATCGTATGTTCTTGTGTTAAGTTAAGAATGCACTAAGTACTGGAAAGAGGTAAGGTGCCTTAGAGAGACCAAACTTTTTGGTTATCATTTTCGCTAGGATATACTTCTTCTGAATAGAGCCGATATCAAGTTGCTTGTTGGCTACTTGACGGGCCATAATCCCTCTCACACAGAGACGGATTGCCGTCATTGCCTTGAAGACGAGGAGACGTCTGAGCACATTATGTGTGACGTGTCAGGCATTGGCCAGATTAAGCTTGCAATACTTCAGTTCTCCCACAGCCGATGTCCTTGCGGTTAGGAATTCGTCTACCAAGAAACTTTTAGCTTTTATAAGGGAGGCTAGTAACATCCGGGCCGTCAGTGGTAGGAACCATTGTAGGGTTAAAAAAAGATCTTAGTCGCGGTGTCCCTTGTTCTGTTACGCTTCCTAGAACTGAAAGACTATTTGACTAGGTGATATTAAGAGTTCGATAAGGAGAAAAATCAAAGTTGAAACATGCAATTTTTAAGCAAAAAACACAAACCGACTTCAATTCTTATATACAAATTTAAGGTCGTCATTAATTTCTTCATCATCCTATGATCGGATTTAAACCTTAAAGGTTCCTTCGAAAAACTTTTTGGAACTATCAACAATAGCTCGGAAGTGATAATTCGGGAACTATTTATCAGCGTTATAAAATCAATTCCAATTCAAGTTTAGTGTCTTTACCAAGTAAACAAAAATATGGAATAAAATACGAGAAATAAAAAAATTAAATGTGTATGTGTGTCAAAAATTGGTGTGGAAGTTGGAAAGTAAGCAAAAACAGTTTGTGAATAAAAGGTGAACGAAAAATTTGCAAAAGCGCAGAATGTAAGCTACAAATATATACTTATGTATGTAAAAAAAAATAAAAATAAAATAATTTATGTAAAAAGCACCGCCGAAAAAATTAAGCAACGTCGCCGCTGATCGCCGAATATATTTTTGTTTCATTTTCTCGTTTTTCCCCTCTTCTTTACGCTTTTGACGTACGCGTGTTGAATTTTTTGTGTGTTTTTAGTGATTGTGAATTCACGATGCGTTTTTGCTGTTTTCAGCGCAAAACGGTGGAAAAAAATAAGAAATGAAACAAAAAATATTAAGAAAGTAACAACTAGCATACTTATGTATTTATGTATGGTGTTTTATTCGTTTGTAATCGCCTGCACATGTGCCTTAGACCCCAAGCCGCGCCAGTCGTCTCCGCGACGACAGCACTGTCTCGCACGCACATCACAACAATAACAACAATAAGGGAATGAGCGAACGAACGCACGAACAAAACATCAATAAAATGCAGCTCAACATAAACGAACAGACATTTTAGCAACAACAACCACTACGCGAGACAACGCAACCAAACAGAGTGCAGTAATAGCATTTTATTCGTCGTAAGAGTTACTGAAGTCACTGTCGCCGACAATGCCACCGCCACTGTCGGTGTTACCATCTTTCTCAGCTATGAGCGTCATACATACATATTTAGTACATACAGTGGGCGACGAAAGTGTATATACGGCCCCTATTGCTATAGTTTAGAAAGTCGAAAAGTATTATGGAAAAAACTTAAGGTTTATTACTACTACATTCGGGTGATGCACAAGATGTCATAAAAAGTCATAATGTCATACATTTTATGAAGGTTAAAAATATTTTTGAGTGATTCATGGCAACCGCAAGACAGTTTTAAACATTTTAAAATTTATTACTATTTTGATTCACCCTGTCATTCAATTATTTTTAAAATCTCTACTTAAAGTATAGTCTCAGAAAATTATTCGTATTTATGAGAAACGGAAAGAACCTTAAGACGACAGTCAGCGTACTGTCAGAATGGCATATATGTACATAGGTTTTACTGCTATCCCTAAATTGGCGCGTCATGCACTAAAGAACAGTCCGAAGTCCTCAAGCCCATACAATTTGAATGAAGTATCGCACAATAACGCGGCGCTGGCGCTGAGCAGATGGAACTTTAATTTTTGACAGGGCTTTACGTTTGTAAGTTGAGTGGAGAAGACAGAAAGAAAGAGACAGTACAAAAAAGCTAAATAGGAAAGGAGAATAAAAACGAGAGAAAATGAGAAAAAATTAAAAATTTCGGCGATTTTATATGGGTTTAGCGCGCTCTGACACTAATTGTTGTTAGACAGCAAAAGTGCCAACTTAACTTAAATCTATAATAAAAATCATATTTTTGTTTTATTTAAAAAGTGTTGCTTGTAATATTCGGTAAAAATTATCCAGCAGCAAAAATACTGAGAATTAATCAAATTTCGTACTCAATGTGAAAAAACATATCCAGAAGTCGAGAACGCAGCAGTGACCGAGAATAAAATGTAATGTCAAGAACGTCACCGCAAAAGAACCAAACGGGAACAAAAGTATTGAAAACAATTTGAGCGGGAACAAAATGAGAACAAAAGGTACGGGAACGTTCTCGAAATGAAAAAAGTGCGAAAACAATATTCTCACTGGAACAAAAGTATTGAAAGCAGTTTGAGCGGGAACAAAATGAAAACAAACGGTTCGGGAACGTTCTCGATAAGAAAAAAATGGTAACGTATCCAAGAAGAATCAAGTAAGAAGAAAAGACTTGGGAACATTCTGTTAGAGAACAAATCGAGAACAAAAGATTTGGGAATTTAACGTTAAGAATGAGAGGGGCTGTTGCGTGTTGGGATGAAAAATCGTTGCAGTGAGAACATGGTTAATCCTAAGACAGAGGAAAGCTGGCTCATTACAACTTCCACGACGTTTATCATTACGGTGAACTGTCAATGTATGGATAAATTTTTCACGAAAAGTTCATGTCTTAAGGCTTTCTTTGACTTAATTTGCATAATTATCTTTCAGTTTTAATACCCGAGCGCACTTGTGCACGATTGTCCATCATCCCTTGTCAAATTTGGTTTGGAGACAAACCGCTTTCGGCGTTGTGCCATCTTCGGTGTAATTTTTCGTTCTCCTATAAGTTCATTTACTTTTTTCACCCACTGTATGTATGTACATATCCACACACAAATACGATACATTCCCTAAGAAGCATGCTTGCATTCATCTCCTCATGACTATTTCTCCTACTTGACATTTGGACGCACGCAATGCTAAGTACTCGGTATTGTATTTTCATTTAATTTTTTGTGTATTTCTTGTACATACATATGTATGTATGTAGGTATATACACATGTACTACATACTCGTACATATGTTTATGCTGCATATCTGCATAGAATTTCAGTATGCAGTTCTCTCAAAGTGTTCTCGTCGGTCCTGGCGTACCTATTCAACAATGAATCTTAGACCCCTTTCAGACACGTCAAGTCTTGCTTTCAAGTCTGCTCGGTTCGTAGGCGATGGAGGTGAGAAAAGTACATTCGTCTCACCTCCTTCGCCCACGAACGAGCAGACTTGAAATCAAGACTTGACGTGTCTGAAAGGGGTCTTACATTTCTGGTGTTTTTTGTTGTTGCTGTTGCTATCACTTTCGTCTGTATTTTGTTGTTGTTGTTGTTTTCCTTCAAGTAGCGATATCAATATTAAGTCGCTATCTCTAATTTTTCTACATATGCAGCACGTTTTTGAAAAGAAACTATGTACATACATAAGTGACAAAATAAGTGCAACGAAACAGAAATTTGTGTAAAGTGAAGCAAATAAATATTTTAAACAAGTTTGTGTGTATTAAAAATACCTACAAATAACGAAAGCATAAATTAATGCATTTGATTAAATCGCATTTTATGAAACTGGCAAATTGCATGCAATATGTGTAAAGCGTTAAAAATCTGTGTGCTTGTGTTCAAAAATTAAATTCTAAAATAAAAATCTAAAGAAAGTATAATAAAAAAAAGCAAAGAAGTTGAATAAAACAAAATCTTCGCAAAAAGTGCAAGTACTCATATATACATTAAATGTTTATAGAATAGCAAATTCAGATTCGATGTCGCAGAATTTACACATAGAAGAAACCGCTGTTTGCAGTACATAAATACGAAGGTTTGTATGATTTTTTGGTAAATAAAGGGTGATTTTTTTGAGGTTAGGATTTTCATGCATTAGTATTTGACAGATCACGTGGGATTTCAGACATGGTGTCAAAGAGAAAGATGCTCAGTATGCTTTGACATTTCATCATGAATAGACTTACTAACGAGCAACGCTTGCAAATCATTGAATTTTATTACCAAAATCAGTGTTCGGTTCGAAATGTGTTGAATGTGTGAAAAGTTGGCAGAAAATCCGCTTTTTTATCGACAAATTTTGTTCAGCGATGAGGCTCATTTCTGGTTGAATGGCTTCGTAAATAAGCAAAATCATGCGATTTGACGCCTTTAGACTATTTTTTGTGGGGCTACGTCAAGTCTAAAGTCTACAGAAATAAGCCAGCAACTATTCCAGCTTTGGAAGACAACATTTCCGAAGAAATTCGGGCTATTCCGGCCGAAATGCTCGAAAAAGTTGCCCAAAATTGGACTTTCCGAATGGACCACCTAAGACGCAGCCGCGGTCAACATTTAAATGAAATTATCTTCAAAAAGTAAATGTCATGGACCAATCTAACGTTTCAAATAAAGAACCGATGAGATTTTGCAAATTTTATGCATTTTTTTTAAAAAAAAAGGTATCAAGCTCTTAAAAAATCACCCGTTATTTAATGTACAGTTGTCGCTCTTGTAAGACGTGTGTGACTATATTTAACTAAGACAAAATTTTTTAGTCAGTATACATACCTGATTGATTAAGTATGCAGTTTTATAGCCCATTAAATTTTAATTTAATAAGGTGCATGTTTCAAGTAACTAAGAATTATGGTTGCTTTTTACTATTTTTTTTTTGTTGATTTTCTTTCAGAGTTCTTCAATGGCTCGACGCCAGTGAGTCATTCGCAATCGTATGCTGCGAATGCCGCATTATACTAAAGCCAGCCTTTCGACATAAGCTACTTTTCCATACCAACACAGATATATATGTAAAATGTGCTCGAAATCTAAGAAAAAAAAATATTAAAAACCTACGCAATTTCTTAACTGCTTCAAACTTGCACTTATTTATACTAAACCCTAAAATAAAAAAAAGCATTTGGTGAATTTTTTTACAGCATTTCAAATATTTCTTGTGCAAGTTTATTGCTACTTTCTCTGCACTTTGCACTAAAAAATTTAGTATAAACAAATAAAAATGAAAAGAGGCTCCTTAGCTTCTTAAGAATTTAATTACCTTTCAACGACCAAAAAAATTGAAGATCTATCAAGAATCCTAGGCTGTACACCTTTTTAACCGACTTCAAAAAAAGGAGGAGATTATCAATTCGTCGGAATATTTTTTTTTATGTATGTTACCGCATAACTTTGGACCACGTCCACCGCTTTCGATTATTCTTTTTGCATCGGAAAGGTAGTGTCTCAGAGGTGGTCCCATACTAATGTAGTTTACGTCCGATCGATGGATCATGAAAAAATTAACGCAACTCCTAAATTTTTGTATAAGAATTTAAGTCGGTTTTGTTTTTGCTTAAAAATTACTTGTTGAATAGTAAATTTTTCGTCTGCTCCATGATCATCTTCACGATATCCGTACTGTGGCAACGTGGAAACTGAAAAGGCAGTGCTTGATGGTCTGAAAAGAATAACTAGAAGAAAGAATAAATCCCTGAAAGATTATTACCAAACTCAGTTATGCCAACCATATTAATACCCCTTCCTACCAGTTGTACATTTCTATGATTTCGCAGGAAATTTCTTGCCAAAACGGCGATCGCTGATAATGGGATCAGAAGATTCTCACTGTAGAGTCTTATTTAGGTTGGAGTTCCAACTAAGTCTCTTATCGAGCTTGATACCCTGATTTTGAACTCGTCAGAGAATTCAAGTTGCACGCCATCCTGGAATGACATGTGTATGGACTATTAATGGTTTTTTTACTAAAACATATTTGACATTTTTTTGCCTTTTTTTTAAGTTAACTTCGCGCGCTTTTGTCTGCTATAAATACTTCCTGCATTCACGGTTGCCACTTGTTTAAAAAATAACCAACCAAAATTTGATAAAAAACAACCAAATTAAAAAAAAACCATATATTTTTTCTCGTATCTATTACAAAAAGCAAAATTTAAAGCAGTGTCACACGATTTGGCATTTGCCAAAAATTTGGTGAAAATCGTATCCCAATCGTGTGAATGCACAAATATTTTTCGCTATCCCAATCACGAAAAATAATTTGTTAAAAATTTTCTGTAGAAGTTCGCAGTATTGTACCAATAGCTCAATTAAAAAAAATTTACAATTCTGTACAAATATTTCAATCGTGTGGCACTGCGTTTATTATAAAAAAAAAAATATTGAAATAGGTACTTGTGCGTTCAATCACATTTGTATTTACTTTTTATATATAAAATAACCAACAGTGGCATTATTTTTAAATTGCACATTTTTGTCTTTCGTTTTTGGGCTCGAAATGAATTGGTATCCAACAGCAGAGAACCACCGCCATTTGAGCATCACCCACGCAAGAGCGTATTATGCAGCCGTAAATTTGGAGAGGGAGAAAAAGAGAGTGTGTATGAATGAGTACACCACTCAGCACATCTGCAATTCGTTTGCATTCGGCATTGCAGTGAGCGCATGCTGAGTTACAGTAATTGATACAATGCATGAATGTAAATACGTACATATGCATGTACATATATTAGACCATACCACCTAACAAGCAAACAAAAAGGTTCGCCGTATACTCCCGACTCTAAAGTAAATATAAAATATTCTTTTGCAAGACAATTACGGTTTTTTTGCCAAAGCTAGCGGTTGGGTTTTTAAACTTTTCGGCGACACCTACATTCGGCAATAACAATTTTTTTTTTAAATAGTTCTACTGGAATAATTAAAATAATTTCTTAGCAAAAGTTTAATGATATTTGATGAGGTTTTATTTAAGTTAGGGTCGTAGGCACAGAGATCTGGTGGGGCAGTACTACAACGGGGTACTTGAGATGTATGAACTTTGGAACAGTTGTGGCAGAAATGAAGACCAATCTTTAAAATGAAGACTTATTTTCGAATAAGTTAGAAAAAATCTTAAACTGAAGATATTAAAATTAAACTAAAATTCCAGATAGGGGCGAATCCGAGAAATAGTCAACCAAAATCGCAGAAAATGCATGTAATTCGAACACTTTAATTTTTTGTGTCGAAAAAAGGATTAGTACAATATATTCTTATTTCATATTTCTTTTCACACTTATTTGAAAAATCTGATTTGCCCCTCTAAATGGCATTGGTTTTAAGCAAATAATAAATAGCATTAAGTTTTAATAAAATACAATTACATAGTTTTAAATAAATGAAACGTCCCTAACGTAACGTCCCGAACGCACATATACAATCGTTTTAAAATTAATCCAACCTTTAGTTTGCTTTTATATCACATTTTGTAAACTTAATTATTTTCTCTTCAAAGTATTTTTGTAGATTGTGCTCTCCATGCACGACAATTTGCGTAAATCGGTTGACTTTGATGGTCATATTAAAATCGCTTCCTTTTTAAAAACTTTAAAAAGGTTTTTTTTATACTTTTTTTTTGTATTTTTGAATATTCCATCTTAACTTGGCAGATTTTTCACGAAAATTTTCTGGCAACACGGCAACATAAAACCTTTCCCCTCGAGACGAAAATATGGATATATCTTATATTAAAATCCGTCTGTAAATGCGGAATGTATGACGAAAAATGTAAAGACAAATTTTTTTGTTTTCGGAATTTCCTTCCAAAAATATTTTCGATGTGAAGGTATATGGCGAACTCTTTTTTCCGGTACGGTCTAATGTACATACATATGCATGTATTTAAAGTGCATACATACATAAATGCTGGTATCTAATGCATCTGTAAACTGAAAATATACTTACTGCCGAGGAGGGTGTGGCACATCATTTATAGTATATTTTTGCGTATTCCTAATTTCTTGCGAATTTCGTCGGTGTGTTTTTAAAATTGTCTCTTCAACTTTTCGACTATTTCTGAGCATTTGTAAAGATAATATTTACTCGTATTTACTATTCTGAAGGAAACCCCACAAATTCGCTTGCCAAGCAGCTTCCAAATTTATCGTCGCCAGCAGGTTTTTTATTAATATTTTTCGTTATTTCTTTCAGCCTTTCGCACATGTTTCTTCATTTATTTCGTCTGCTTTTTAGTTAGCGCTTTTTACGCGCATTTCAGTATGTTTTCTTTCATTCCATTTTGTCACACATTCATTTTTTCACATATCTTATTTTTCGGCTGCTTTTTGTGGTTTGACGTAGTGACACATAAAACGTTGGTTTACTCATTTTTCTTGTTTGGTGTTGTCATTTTTGTTGCTGCTGCTTGTGTTCCACTTTTGTCTCCCTTTTGTTGGCGCGCTCATTTTGGCACCTACTATTAACCCGCCATCGCCAGCGCCAACACCATCGCCATAAAAAAAAAAAATTAAATATAAATATAAATATAAATCTGTCTGCCCGACTGACCAGCGGCGAATCGGTAAGACGAGGCCCAGCAAGCAGCCAGTATGGCTGCGAGAATTCAATCAAAAATTCCCCTGCCATATGACCGACCGAACGACCACCACTCAGTCAGTGGGCCAAAGAGAGTGTGTTTGGTGTGGAAGTGTGTAGTGCTGCTCAATAAATAGTGTTGGTATTATGGGGGTTCGGCGGTAGATGCAGGTCGGAGTTCTGTTAACTGTATGCACGTGATTTAGTTTCAGCGCTTCCGTGTCGCTATTCGAAACTGTTCTTGACATTTGCTTTTTATAATTTTTTCATTTTTGTTGCACATCAATACATACATACATATGTACACAAGTTATAGTAGTTTTGTCTGCAGTGCTCTCGCGTTTATCAGCACACCCCACAACACCCCATACACCATAGCTGTCTACCTCTTTCTTGCAGTCTATCTTTAGCGTTTTGCAATTGTTGCTGTTGGCATTGTTAGCGCCGGTCGCTTCATAAACACCG